TGCAAAATGTTGAGACTTGGATTCAGTGTGACGTCGAAATAATTGCCACATTTATGTGACGCTCGTCCACACGGGAAATTATCGATATGTGACAATTACATAAAAACTAGCATGCCAGCTTTCCAGTAACTACAGTTGTCACATAAAATTTGTCCAATTTTGCTCATCTACCGCGGGCAATTAAAAATTGTCACATAAAAATTGCTCGTCTAGACGGGGCTTAATTCACAGGTCTGAAGTTCAAGACTCAGAGGAGCTGACATTTCATTAGATTTCTTTCTTTACCAAAAAATAAATAAATTCAATCAAATATAGAACAGGGAACCCGGTAACGGTAACTTAATGAAAAAATTAATAGAGAACAATGAGAATAAATAAATAGTTTCGAACACAAGTAACGCAGGCTCAAGTTTACAGGAAAGTGAGTGAGTGAGTGAGTGAGTGAGTGAGTGAGTGAGTGAGTGACAGMTTCGTCCCCCTCCAATAACTCTTCGATTGCTTCGCAATCTTCGAGTTAAAAAGGACAGCTTGGAACTAGAATGACGGTAATAAACCCGTGACTCAGAATTAGCGACGACTATGTAGTTCTCCATGCATTTCTGTTTAAACAATAGAGCAGGAGGAGCCGACGGGGTCTTTTCTTCTAAATAAGTGTTCTTGTATGAATTTCTCCTGGGAGAATTCTTGAGCCACACGTGTTGACAATCTTACAAGCAAATGTGGCGCCATTCCTTCTTTATAATGATTTTGTTCCTGGAAAACGTTTTTAAGGTCAAAAAAGGCTTATATAACCGTTTATATGGTTAAAACGGCTTATGTTTTTTGAAATTTTTATTTCCCTGGCAAAACTTCTTAGAAAGTTTTCCTTGCCTGGAGAGTTCTTTTTTTCCTTTCTCGCTGGCAACCAGTTTTGACGTACAAATAGTTGCCTAATAACGAGATTGAATATAACATTTCAAAGCTACAAAAATCAAATACTAGAAGAGTTTAAGTAAGACATAATGCTGTGATATTGCCGGCGAAAATTGCTTTTGATGCTCGAATAAAAAAGGATATTTTGATTCAAGTTAAAAAGACAGTTAGACCGTTTTCCATGTGATGCATGAATATTCTTATCCTTCCCTATTGTTTTTCATTATACAATAACAAAATTCCCCGTATATTGGGGACGAAAAAGAATCACACAACCAAACCGCGCAAGTCGACATTTGCAATAACTTTACCTTGAAGGCACGTTGGCGTCCTACCCCATATCGTTACTTGAAAATTTTTCGGAGCCGATTAAGACGATGCATGAACCTCACAAAAATGATGTTCTCTCTCAGTGGATTTCTTCTTTTTCGCCTATAACGTTTGAGATCTAGAGGCACGGAATGGAGGGTACTCAAATAGAGTGCTAGTGTTGGATTGTTGACATCATAAACACGTTCCTCGATAGCGAGTGCTCTTTCCATGCATTTCTTGGCTTCGTCGTACTTTCTGAGATGTTTTAGGACTCGACCGAGGTTAATAAAATGAAAGGCTAATGTTGGATGGTTGTCACCATAAACACGTTCGTCAATAGCGACTGCTCTTTCCATGCATTTCTTG